GAGCAATTAATTAATGTATATATTCACCGAATAGCTCTATTCGCATTTTTCTTCTTAATATTAGAACATATCCTAAGCTCGAATTTCTTCTCCCCAATTGATAAAGAATTGAAGGTTTAAGAATCAATCTATTTCATTTCCATTCAAATGTTGCTTTGATCCCAAAAATAGAAAGGAAAAAAGAAAGAAAAGCATTGCATTTAACTTGGTCTGTTTTAATCCTACTGGACGGGCTATTACTATCAAAACACACCAACATTTGTTTTACGTGTAGGTAATGGAATGGGTAAACTAATTAAGGACAAGATGGTTCTGAAAATTTGAAGTGCAGAATAACACATATATCATATATATATATATATATAGGGGTAGATCCATGGCACCGCAAATTTGACACAAGTTTTGACACAATTTTTTAATCATTAGATTAGGCTACAATGAATGGTTAAGATTAAACAAATTGATTCTTTTTCTTTAAATAATTATTAGTTGAAATTAATTTTAATTAACTTACTATAATATTTTATCTCCCTTCATTTATGTTTTCCCAACTTCCTAAAAGCATTAACATTTTCTCTCACGTCATCTTCTTCTTCATGCCTTTACTTCTGTTTTTTCTTCTTCTTCCAATTCTTCTTTCTGCCTTTGACAGTTTCTATCATTACCAGCACTAAACAAGTAGCTCTTCTCCCTCCCATATTTCACATGTTAGCCATTAATTTTTTCCCCCTAAGATTTCAATCAATATAATAAATAAATGGTATGATTTAATTCTCTGAGTATGAATTTTTATTTTCTGATCCTTTCTTTTTATTCGTTTGGCGTTTGGTTCAACTACTGTACATCTTGCAGCAAAATTTGGAGAGGTTTATCTTGCAGTCTTGTATGTTGGTTCTTTTGTTAATTTCTTGAGCTTTGAGTCTCTAAATCCTTGGATTACTTTCTATTTAAATTTCTTTTTCCTCTTACATTTGTGGATTTCTTAATGTCTTTTACCATGAGAAGTTCAAGTTCATTCTCAAACAGTTTAGCATCTAACAGCAGCAAAAAGTATCCATAGCTTCTTAGCACAATTAACAATTAAGATTTTCAAACAATCTCCAGAATATTTAGCGAAAATTGCATGAAGTGTTGGAGTGGAAAAATCTGGAATAGATCCTTGCGTGTTTGGAGATCAACTCAGAACTTTGTTTCCAGATAAAGGAACAAAAAATTAAATCAGAAAAAAGTTCAAACTCAAAACGTGAGAATAAATGAGATTGGAGAAGATGGAGAGATTTTAGCCTACATTTATGTTACCTTGAAAAGTGGTGAGTTCAATATTTTATTTTCTTTGTTATGTTATCGAAATAAAATAAATAAATAATAAAATCACATTTAATCTTAGCCCTTGAAAGTGCTTGCATCTAAAGGCTATAAAATTGTGTCAAAACTTGTGTCAAATTGGTGGTGCCACGGATCCGCCCCCATATATATAGCTTCCACTGAGGGATTCCTCAAATAAGCTTATTTGAGGGACACCCTTATAGGGCCCACTCCGCATTGTATTCCGTTAATCCAAACTGTCTATTTTTTAGATAATCATTTAAAGATTATCTCTACAAAAATTCACTTGAATATCATTTGACCACTCAATTGAGTTATTGAAATTTTAGTACTTTCTTAAAACACCGTGTTCATTGATTTTGTATGACACAATTGGATGTCAAAACGATTTCCGATTTGTCTAATTTACTTGATATCATAAATAATACTTAAACCAAACAAATTTACACCTCAAACAAGGAGCATTACTCAAGCCACAAAAAGTCTTTGCTTGGCCTAATAATTAATGTGCTTCACGGTGTTCATCTTTCAACGACACATCCCTGAGTTTTGGCTTTAACATAAATGGAGTGACATCATGGTATTTGTTTAGAAAATATAAATTGATAAAGATCTAGTAGCTTTATTAATACAAATTCGAAACACAAAGGATTCAAGCTCGTTTGATAACACTTTCGCTTCTAGTTTTTACCTTATCTTCACTACATCATTGTAGCTATTAGGTAAGTACATTTTAATTAGTGTCACATTTTGGCTTCGCATGCTGCATGTCGCCGCTAAGTATGATTAAATAATGACAATTGGAGACAGCAAATAGATATATACTCACTTAATGCCAAAAAAGGAGAATGATTATAGGAAGCACCACCATTTGTTTAGAATAATCTTTTAATTATTTTAAACAAAGATTAGAGTAAATCTTAGGCCACTAGAAAAAGGAAACTTCTATTAGGCTCATGATCCTTGTTAAAGCCATCTCAGCTCTGCCTTTACCAATCAAACTGACATTAAAATAAGCCGCACCCCACTAAGTCGTTATCATATTTTTTTTAATCTCAGAAAAGCATTATTAGATGAATTAAAGAAATATATGTTCTTGGGATATTTGACTTTAATTATATTTTGTCATTCATTCATCTTCTTCTTCTTCTTTTTCCAATATATTTTGTGAGTAATTAATCTTACCAGAAGAGGATAAGATATACTGATGATCATTAGCACCGTCCAATCGGCCGATGTCGGGGAATTTCTTTGACCAGAAGTCAAGTCAACACGATTTATGTTCTTGTCTTTGATATCCAAAATGAATAAAAATAAAACATGATCCTAGGAACATCCATGTATTCAGGGGATGGCAAAGAAGATTGAAAATATATCGTTCAAACGTACGAATGTCTCTTTGAAAACAATCTTTTCTTAACCGAACCAAATACTAATTATATTATTCAGTCCGGGGGGGTGGGGGTGGGGACCTTCTAGGAAATATATGTGGTTTTCTCTTTTAGGAAATATAATCTATTATTTCTTATGCAAAGATTAAAGGAAGATGAACAATAATTGGTTATGTTTATGTTATCTAATCTGGTAAGGAAAATCAAGAGTGGCAGTTTTTGACACAGCAAAGCGATCGTATAACTCGAACTCCACCGACACGAAGTTAGTAGGTTTTGATTGATCGTCACTTGACTTGAGCATGATTATGATACGACCTGCTAAATATGACTAATAACCCAACCTTAGTCCACCCCCAAACTCGCTTGTTGACATTACCAAACGATTATAGATTTTTAGGTGAACTATACGATTATAATCGAGTTGGGTTAATGTTGAGTTCTTAAACACGTTCACTACTTTTGTACACAAATTTGTAACACAAAACGACTCGTTAATACGAATTGACACCCTAAACAATGCTGTCATGGTTCAATAAAATATGACATGTCACAAAGTTTTTTTTTTCTACTTGCCACAAAGTAATCTCTCCCTAATCCCAATGCTTTAGGGCAACATACCTTTTTTTTTCCTTTCTCCACTGTGTTCTATTCTCCACTCTCTTTTGGCCCAAAAGTTTGATGTGATAACTTAACACAATCAGGATCTCATGATTCAAAAAACTCAAAAAGATGGCCCACAATATGAAGGCAGGGGAAGGAATTATTGCCTTCTTTTCCTTTGATGTATCCAGCGATTATATTCACTAGGGTTTTGAACCATCATGATGAAGAAAGATCCCTTTCATTTGAAAACTGAAATGAACCCAGAGAAGGGCACAAAGTACTTACTTGCCAAGCACCTTTGTGTATCTTTAAGCAATCTTTAGCTCATAGTTCTATGGTACACACCTCAAGTCTAGAAAGAGAGGAATCATTAACTTCCTTTTTTTTAAAAAAAAATTTTTAATAGACAAACCATGAACTTTAATTGACTGTTTGTTGCATGATAAAAATATATAAAATCATTAAAAGCAAACTCTCATTGCAACAGAACATTAGCACTGATGATAGTAATCTAAAAAAGTTGAAAATTTTGATTTATATTTGTAATCTAAGAAATTGTACAATTTTGGAGCGTTTGAAGCGTGTGTTATGAAGTGACTATGTTTGTATAAAGCCAACTTTGGAAGACGTGCTGAATTTTTTTAGAAATGATAAACTTTTTAATTAAAAAAGTGAGGTGCACTAGAATGTTGGGCGAACTCACAAAAATTGTTAATTAGAGGTCTAAATTAAATACTGAGTCATTTTATGGTGAGGGTCATTATAAATGTGGATTTTTATATTAGCTACATGATTAATCTGAATAATGAAATAATCTTATGGCTAATATGAAGATCCACATGAAGAGTTCATATATAACACTCATTATAGAATTTCGCATTAAGTACTAAGGAAGGGCTCAAGTTCAAGCCCAAAGAGTTCAAACCCGTTTTGTGTATCAAAAGAAGGGTGATCCTGAGGACATGCAACAATAATTTCTGAACACCCAAAACAAAAAAGTTAAAAGACAAAAAGAAAAGCAGAATTAAAAAATGTAAAAGAACTTCACATGAAAAAGATAAAACAGAAGACTCAGCCCCTGCCAAGCAGAAGACATTTCCATGCGTCAAATCTTAATTACTTGTGCAAAGAGACTGCTGAATTTGATGGGCTACATGCATACAAATTATTTGGGCCAACCAACCATTTAAATGATATGTAGGCTTGGGCAAATGGCCTCTTCCAAGATTTGGGCCTTACCAAGTCAACCCACTTAAATTTCCGAAACTTGAATTCATATTCATAAGGGCAATTTAGTATTTTTCTTAGAACTAGCTAAGTTCCTAGTCACTTAATAAATTCTTACTCATCAAGTTAAACCTTCTATCTTAGGGGTCTCAATCAGTGCCGGACCCAGACATTTATCCATTTGGGGGCGTAAAAAATAATTTCATAGCTGACTCCTACAAAATCTAGGTTTTCATAGCAATATTATATATATTATAACACATAATCTATTTCAATAATTTTTTAATATATGATTTTGGGATAAAATCTAAGGCTTTATATATTGGACCACATGTTTATTAAGTCTTGGGCCTTGATATTTTAATATAAGAGAGGTTTTGGGCTTTTTGATTGACGAGTCTGCTTTTGGGGAACCTTTGTCTTGTGCAAAGGTTGCATCTTGGACTCAACATGGTGGAGAGAGGAGTAACTGTTGTTCATGGGACGGTGTCGAGTGCGATGAGGACTCTAGCCATGTTATTGGTCTTGACCTCCGAAGCAGCTGTCTTTATGGTTCCATCAACTCCAACATCACTCTCTTCCACCTTATTCACTTGCAGAGGCTTGACCTTTCAGATAATGACTTCGATGGATCTGAAATACCATACAGATTGGGTCATGATCTGACGAGTTTAACATATCTCAACCTTTCATATTCAGCCTTTTTCGGCCAAATTCCGTCAGAAATTTCGAAGCTATCCAAGTTGTCTACTCTTGATCTCTCTTCTTATAGTAGCCATTTAAAATGGACAAAGAGAAACCTGAGAAGCCTCGTTCAAAACTTGACCAACATAAAAAAGCTTCATCTTAGAGAGGTAGACATATACTCCACTGTGCCTGATATCTTGGTAAATGCATCTTCTCTTACATCTCTTCAACTTGACAATTGTGGGTTGTATGGGGAATTCCCAGTTGGCATTTTCCATCTACCAAACTTAGAGGCTCTTTATGTGAGCTATAACTCAGACCTAACACGCTATTTTCCCACCTTTAACAAGTGCAATGTTTTCAAGAAATTGGATATTGCCAGCACGAATTTCTTTGGCCAACTGCCTACCTCCCTCGGAAACCTTCATTCCTTGATTGTGTTTGCCATCTCATCGTGCAATTTTCATCCCAATGTTCCATCTTCAATCGGAAACCTTACCCAACTCAGTTACCTTTCCATGTATTCATTTAATGACGTTTCCAAAGGCAAGCTATCTGTTTCTTTTTCTTGGGTTGGAAAACTAACCAAACTCTACCACTTGAGCCTTGGAGATACCAACATAAAGGGAGAATTTCTATCTTTTGTGTCTAACCTGACACAACTTGAATATCTAGACTTGGCCGCTAATGAAATATCAGGTCAAATCCCATCTTGGCTTATGAAGTTGACCCAGTTAACCACTCTAACCCTTGGTGATAACAATTTGCAAGGACCAATTCCTAGGTCGCTCTTCCAACTCAAAAATCTTGAATATCTTTTTCTTTCCAGTAATAACTTGAGTGGGTTGGTTGAGTTTGATCAGTTTTCCAAGCTGAAAAAGTTGAAGAGCCTTGATTTATCGAACAACTTGTTATCTGTGGAGATAAGAAATGATTTAAGTGCTACTCTTCCAAAGCTTGAAACTCTAGCACTGGGCTTCTGCAACTTAACGGAGTTTCCAAAATTTTTGAAAAATCAATCCGAATTGACTAAGCTAGACCTTTCTCGCAACTATATTCACGGCCCAATACCGAAATGGTTCTGGAATGCAACTATTGAAACTTTGTTGACACTCCGTCTATATGACAACTTTTTGACAGGATTTGACCAATATCCAGGCATTCTCCCATGGACAAATATGATCTTTCTGGGTCTTGGGTTTAACATGTTACAAGGACCTCCGCCAATTCCACCGCAATCAATCAAATTATATGATGTCGAAAACAACGAATATACTGGAGAAATTTCACCTCTATTCTGCAACTTCAATAATCTCCAAGTTCTCGAGTTGTCCAACAACAACCTTAGTGGCATGCTTCCACAATGTTTGGGTAACTCTAGTGTTTTGGAAGTATTGGCCCTGCATAACAATTTTTTTAATGGATATATTCCTCCAATATGTCCAAGCAAAACTAGTTTGAGAATTGTTGATTTTAGTTATAATCAGTTGCAGGGGAAGCTACCAAGAGGGGTGATGAATTGTACTCAGTTGAAGGTTCTTAATTGTGCAAACAGTTAGATGAGTGACATCTTCCCATCTTGGTTAGGGGCACTTCCAGAATTACGGATCCTCATTTTGCGGTCTAATGGATTTCATGGCGTAATTGGGAAGCCTGCAACTAAACATGAGTTCCCAAATTTGCGCATCATTGACTTATCTAACAATGGTTTCTCGGGTATGTTGCCCTCTAACTACTTAGAGGTCTAGAATTCCATGAAATATGTTGATGAAAACCAGCAAACTTATCTTGAAGTATATACGGATGTGGTCGGTGGAAAACGCTTTAATGTTGTATACGGAATTACAATAAGTGGCAAAGGTGTTGAGTTAAAATATGAAAGGACCCCTTATCTTCTCAGACTCATAGATCTGTGTCAAGTAATATATTTGAAGGAGAGATTCTAGAAGGTCCCGTTGGGAACCTAAGAGGCCTTGTTGTGCTGAACCTTTCCAAAAACTCTCTCACTGGTCACATCCCTCATCTTTAGGGGACTTGGCTGCTCTTGAATCGTTAGATCTCTCCCAGAACCAGCTCTCAGGAAGGATCCTGAGTAATTTAGCACAACTCACTTTCCTTGCATATTTTAATGTATCCCATAACTATCTCTCCGGGCCTATACCACTTGGCGAACAATTCAATACATTCCAGGAGGACTCGTACGAAGGAAACTCAGGTCTGTGTGGAATGTATCTGCCAAAGAAATGTGAAGATTCTGAGAGCTCAACGCGGCCACCACCATCAATCGTGGAAGAAGATGAAGACTCTGTATTTCAAATTGCACTAGATTGGTACGTGGTTGTGCCAGGAGTTGTTAGTGGTCTAATAGTTGGAGTGGTTGTTGGGAACATATAGACAACAAAGAAGCATGAATGGTTTGTGGAGACGTTTAGCAGGAGGAGGAAGCCAAGAGGCACAAGGGCTAGGAGGGGACGCAGAACTTAGCCCAAGGCCATGTATCTGTGTTTATGTATGCATGTTTGGTGTGTCCATAAGGGAAGTATTTGAGCCTTCAAAGAATATTATGTTGTTGTGGTGTGAAGTTTCGTGGTACCAATTGTGTAGTATATTTTGCATATGTGGTGGTGTAAGTTATTTGTAGATGTTCAATAATATATTTGTAATGTATTTCTCAACTAGTACTCAAATATGTAGCCAAATTTGTAATGTGTATTTAGAGGCTAACAAATTATATATTTCAGTAATAAGCTAACCTAAGCTTAATCTTTGAGTCATCATCAGCCGGGGGGGCTTCATCAACACCGTCTTGCACTGTAATTTTTCCTATTTGGTTATTAGTTTTAATTGAAAATTAAATTTGACATGTGTTGCATAAATTTTGTTTCGTATTGGATTGGGAGTAGAAGTTTGGGTGAAGTGCAAATTGTGAAACCCCGTATTTTTATATTTCAGGAATTAAATATTTTGTTACGTATTTAGTTTATAACTTATATATATATTGTCTTGTGACTAATAAATATTTATATTTTATTTTATTACATATATTACTCTATTATATACAAATCTCTCTCTTCCTAGCTTTTAATTATAATTATTTTAACTAGAAAACGTGGCATCAATCTTTATAATGAAAACATTCAACTACATGTGAGAATTAATATGAGTTGGAGTTAGTTGGATGAGGTGTTAGAATATTGGCAAGAGGTGGCTTTAAATGGATGTTGGTGTCAATTTCATATTGAGCTGGAGCACATGCATCTATCACTTATCTCTTAGGATTGATGTGTCAAATTTCTAGTTACTTAATCTACTTTTGTGATAAGATTAATATTACTTTATATTATATGTTTTCCATGCATATCTCCTTTAGCCGCCAAACAATTATCCAATAGGATTATCTTTGTTGTTGCCGACTTATGCTAGTATATATAGGACCTTTCATATTTGAAACAAGAGTAAGAAACAGGGAAGAAATGAGAGAGAGAGAGAGAGAGAGAGAGTTAAGTGATGAAATTTTTGGAAGAGATATAGGAATTAGCTTGTATTTTCTTAACTTGGAGCAATGCCTTGGAATCGAGGTAGGGATTTCTCGGGGGCCTTTACGGGGATTGATCTAATTAAATTTCATGAGCACTATATTATGCTTGATATTATTATTTGATTATTATTGATATTGGGTGTTGAAGTGTTGTTAATTATCTATATTATTAATATTGACATGGTCATATGTTATCAGTGATGGTTGGAATTCTTGGATTGATAAAGAAAGTATGGAAAAGAGGGTAATGGGAAGAATCTTTTGTGTAGTTGAGTCTAACTCTTGGCAGGTACCAGATCTCAGGGATCCCACAGTGCACATGGTTTTTATTGGGTGATTCGGGACTGGCGAAAGGGAGTTAGACAAGATGACTAACAAAAGGGGAATTATGGGACGGTTGAAATGGGTGTTAGTTCATATAAATGGGCATTCGGGACCAAGTGGTATAAGCATGGTATGGGACGTGCAGGTCTGCTTGTCCAGTTATATGAATTAACAGGAGTAGATGAAGAGCATTCACTCATGCATTATTACTAATAATGTGATATTTGGCTATGTGATTGCATGTCACTTAATTTAGTTATATCAATCTACTGTAGTAAGGTCTCATGTCCCTACTGAGCGGTGATTGCTCACCCCTCACCCTGTTTAATTTTTCAGATGAATTAATGGACAAGACAAGGACTAAACCAGTTGAGGTTGAATTAGATGAGAGTGATAGAGCTTTATTTATTAATTGTAAAGTTGTAAGATTTTGGGAGCTATTTTTATAACAGAAGTTTATTTTAAACCCTTCTTTGTATTTCTTTTTATTTTATTTTACTCACGGTCCGGGGCGTGACACAAATCCCAAACAAAATTGCTATCAACTTTTGGCCAACTGAAATTTAAGTTCTTAGAAAAGACTTTAACGACTTTTGAATGGTTAGCCTTAATGACTTCAGCGTCACAAAGATGTGCTCTGGCTTAAAGTAGGGGGGGTGCATTCAATTAGGATTATAAAGCATTTATAAAGATTTTAAAAATCCGGGTGTATTCAATTTGGATTTATACAAACTTTAAAAGAGGTTTTACAAGTATGGGTGTATTCAATTCCGACTTGTATGAACTTTTAAAAAGTCCATTCAAATATGGGTGTATTCAATTAGGATTATAAAAAAGTTGAATCAAATCTAGGTGTATTCAAAAAGTCATATGTTTGGAAGGATTTCATTAAGTGATAAATTTTCGTAGGTTTTAAGGGGATAGCTATATATAAATAACAAAGACCAAAATAAATCCAACCTCCCCCCCAAGTATTTCATCAGACATTTTTCTCTTGCCCTAGCTTTTCTCTCTGCGAAGACGAACAGCTTCCTTCCTCCATCTGTGAAGGTATGCACCTCCATTCCCATATGCGACAGAAACAGAGATAGTGTTAGCTTGTGTAGGACTACACAATTTTCTTCAAAAAGAGTGTATATCTGATGAATTTCCTGTTGAATTGGAGGATGAATCTTCTTCATCTTCATCGTTACCGGTTAATGAAGGGGATCCTGAACTAGTTCTCCAAACACAGGAACAGCAACGACAGAATGCTAATGAATGGAGAGTTGGTATAGCTTTGGATATGTGGAGAGATGCTGGGCACAATGACAACAATGAGAATCAAGGATAATGAATGAACGTTAAATATTTTTCTTAAACTTTTCTTTCAAATTTGTAATACATTTGTCACTATATTTCTTATGAATTTTGCTTTTTGTTAAACATAATTTTATTTCATGTTGTTGAAGGAAAAGATGTTATGAATTTGGTTTTTTATTTCATCCATCGGCTAATCTAAACTTATTATTCAAGCTAGACCAATTCAGAATTTATGTGGTCTTTGCCTGCAAGAGCCATTATTCAAAATATTTTTTATTGCAATTTGGACAACCAATGCTTGGATTCTCTTTTCTTTGGGCAGGTTTTTGTTGCACTGGCTTTCACAGCCGATCCAATTGCTTCTCTAGTTGACACAGCATTCATTGGTCAATTAGGTACTTTGCTTCTTATTCTTTTCATTTTGAACTGTGCATATGTTCTTCCATCGCAAACAAGTACTTTTTGTTTTTGCTTTGGGTAACAAAAACAAATTTGATTGAAAAAAATTCAAGTTTCTTTCTTTAAGGATGGGGATAAAATGAAATATACTGTCTACATAAGTCTGGAATAAAAGCAATATAAGTTCTATGAAAACTTATTAAAAAATTATACAGAAGTCTTCTGAAAGTCTATCAAGTTCTATAAAAATTATAAAGTTCCATCAAGTTCTATGAAAGCTGGCACTTAAACAAAATCTTTTTAAACGCTCTAGAATCCTAATTGAATACACCCCATGCAGACAGACTCTGAGCAAACGACTTGACTTCAAGCAATTTCTGTTCACCTTCTCCGTTTATTAATTTTTTTAATTTTCGCATTTCCAAATAATTGACTCATCCACATGTTTTGGATTATTTTGTAGTTGTGTGTCTATAAAAGCGAGTTAAAGTTCTCCACCCTTGCAACGGGCCTACTAATGTAGTGGTTTGGAGTATTTATTCCAAGCAAGGTCTTGGGTTCGAGTACTAGCATCCGTTTAGTGTTTTGGTACTATGAGGAAAGGTTTGGATGGGCTGTTTAATAAAGTTTCATTGTGGGATTTCGGATTTAGTCTTGGTTTTGACCAAACTTTATGTACATATATATATTAGTTTTCGGCATTGTTTTCTAAACAATGGGGTTATACTATATTAGTTTCAATTGTGAATTGAACTTTATTTTTGTCCACTCACACTTTTCTGTTTTGTGCCTCCCAGGCAGTAGCTATCTTCGAACCGAGTGACCGAGTCAACTTCTGAGCTCGGAGCCTTTGTAGGGCTCTCTTATCCACTTTTTATTTCTGTTTAATTTCGTTTCTGTTGTATTCTGAACTCAGTTAGATATGCTTTGTTATCGCCCTGTTAGGGTTTGATTTGTAGGGCCGGAGGCCTTTGTTGTAAACTTTTATGAAGCATGCTGCCTGTTGGGATATGTTTAAATGTGTTTTTAACAGGTTGAAAAATTTGGGAAAAGTCCAATTTTCAGGGGAGAGCTATCTTCGAACCGAGTGACCGAGTCAACTTCTGAGCTCGGAGCCTTTGTAGGGCTCTCTTATCCAATTTTTATTTCTGTTGAATTTCGTTTCTGTTGTATTCTGAACTCAGTTAGATATGCTTTGTTATCGCCCTGTTAGGGTTTGATTTGAAGGGCCGGAGGCCTTTGTTGTAAACTTTTATGAAGCATGCTGCCTGTTGGGATATGTTTAAATGTGTTTTTAACAGGTTGAAAAATTTGGGAAAAGTCCAATTTTCAGGGGAGACTCTGCTGAATTTTTGGCAGAGAGTCTCAGTTCTTAGTAAATGGGCCCGACATTGGTTTGATGTCGGAACTTTCACGGGATTCGTCCCGGATTCCAAGGAGTTCGAGGCAGGTCCTGTCACCATATGACTTGGAAATTCAAAAGGGATTTGACCATATGGACTTAGACACATATGTGACACATTATAGGATTAATGTGTTGGACCAAGATAGCAAAAGATGACACACAAAAAGGGGGTGTGGCTACACTAGGGCTTGGGGGCATTTTTTTCACTCTTGTAACATTTTTTATCCTATAAGTGTTTAGCTATGGAATCCTATCATCCTAGGGTTTTTCAAGTTGGTGAAATTGGAAGAGAGAAAACATCAAGCTCTCTCTCCCTAATCCCTTGAATCTATCACATCAAGTGAAGGTGCTAGCACCACGCTTCACTTGTTGTCTACTCATTCTCTCATCCCATTCCATGGCTGATTGCCTCTTTGCTCCCCTCTCTCTCCTCCTTTCCAACTCACCCATCAATAACATATTCATTCTTTTTCTTATGTCATGATGGGATTTTTGGCTTTTGTCTTCACAAAGATGCTCTTTGTCTTAGAAAATTTCACTCCATCAAAGTAAGTTCTTGTTACCAAATGGTATGGTAACAAGAAGAATCAAGATGACATCATGGAGGTAAAAACTGGCCCAAGACAAATCTCTAGAGCTGTGGTAACATACTGGATCATTTGGATAGGCTATACTTGTTCAACGGAGCTCAACTTCGGATATGTTGTAGTCAACATCCATTGGAACAAGTTTCATGAAGATCTTCACTTCATCCGAGCACTGAAGCATGTTGATCCAAGGCCAAGAAGTTGACCTACGAAAATGAACAAAAACAGAATTTATAACCAATAAGGCATTTTTAGCTCATTTTCATTCTAACCAAGGTAAAATCTATGAAAACACAAAAAAAAAAGTAAAAAGCTATAAAATGTCAAGAACTAACTCAAATAATGGGTGAATAACATGATAAATCATGTGTAAAAATGAACCCAACAGAAATACTAAAAAGTTTCTTTCAGAAAACATGTAAATTGTAATGTAAGTACTTGAGGAGTAGGGAATCCGTCTTGGATTACATATTATTAAGGCGTTTGACTGCCATATAGGCCCTTGTGTTATAGGGGAAAAATGATATTATTGATTGTTATATTTAGGTGATAGTTGATATGATACATTTGATTTGATCTCTCCAATTCTTTTTTCTTTTAAAACTAAGCATTCACAAAGCGAGTGCAAAATAAGACATGGTATGTGATGCGTAAGAATTTGATGTGTGTACGTGTGTGTTGATTGTTGCGTTGCATAGAAGAATGTAGGTGTATGCACAGGTTTCAACTTTGCTGCTCAAGAAATTGACGTTATGAAAAGTTCACAAGCATAATCGCAAACATATATCATAAAGCTTACAAAATCTCAGATTATGATACCATCATACGCATGCCTCCTTGTGTAGAAGGACCTGTTTATATTTTCAAACGGGAAAAACAAGATGTCATGTTGCCCAGATGCTAAACCCAACCATTACTTTGACCAAAAGACACAAACAAAAAAATCATAAGTACTAAAAAACAAGGAAGGTCACGTGGCGAGTCACGTGTACGGGTTCAAAGGCAAGCACGCTCACCACACGCCATCCTCTGCCGCATTTTCTCTTGCCAAACTCTCTTCTTCCTTCCCTCCTAAATGCCAAGCGTTCATTTGAAATAGATGGCTTATGTGGTAATTTGATTCGAAAAAAAATTAACTCCACTGAAGTGCCAAACATCATATTATTTTATTATAATTTTAAAAACAACTGGGAGCCATATGATGCATAAAGTTTTTAAAGCGAGTAAATGATAGTAGGGTCCACAGCTAAAAAAATATTTGATATCGAGCCTTTTGATATTGATGGTTCTTGTTGTGACACCCCGACCCAAATTTTAATCATTCATTAAAACCCATTTAAATTATTTAATTTTTTTAAATTATGAAATTACAATTTTGCCCCCGATGGGGAGGGGTATTTTGGTCACCTTTTAATCCAGAAGGATTTTGGGGAAATGATTGGCACCGTGATGTAGATCAAGTCGAGATGAGTCTATAAACACATAGTGGGCTCAAATTGGAATTGAAACGAAGAAGTTACGATCAAAGGAAGTATAGTGGCATAACCGTAAATATTTCAAAATGGGTTTTTAAAAATATCATATTCCTCTCTAGGGCTGGCAATGGGTCGTGTTCGTGTCGGGTTCGTGTCGACCCATTTATTTCCCGTGTCAATTTCGGGTCAACCCGCTATGACCCATTTAATAATCGTGCGGGTTTCGGGTCGACCCATATATTTCCCGTGCGGGTTTCGGGTTAACCTATTAACCCGCTAACGGCGCTAAGTAATAGCAAATTTAAAAAAATAAAAAATTCTAAATGTTGATAATTTAATCAAGTAATTATATTTTTTAATATATAAAATAGTTATTTCATTTTGCCTCTCTCTATATATAAAAATTGAGAAATAGAAATTAAAAAATTTAAAAAATGAAGAAAATGAAGAAGGAACAAAGAAAATAATTATTGCATTTTGAACAACGCCATCAATTGTTTTTTTAGTGGGAGAAATCAAAGAGAGAACCTAGTGTTTAACTATTATAAATAGCCTTCTCCAACAATTCGGCAAGGATGACCATGAACTTATTTGGATTTTATTTGTGTATTCTTCACATATCAATGCATCACATACTTATTGGGGTTTTTGCTAAGCTAATAGAGTAACGAAATTATTAAATATCCTCACTAGTAACATGTCCTTGATTATTTCGTTTGCAATGTTCACAAAAGGATGTGTTACATGTCCTTGAGGGTTTAGGATTTAGGGTTTAGAGTTTAGAGTTTAGGGTTTAGGGTTTAGGGTTTAGAGTTTGGAGTTTATGGTTTAGGTTTTAGGTTTAGGGATTAGAGTTTAGGGACTAGGGTTTAGGGTTTAGGGATTAAAACATTAAACCCTAAATCCTAGATACATAATTAACTCAAATTATAAGGAATAATTACTAACAAATATAATTTAGGGATTAAAATGTAATAATTAAGTGCTCATCAGTTTGTAAAGACATTATAAATATCAAATGTTGTAACATATAATCACAAAGTTATCAGCACCAAGATGGATAAGGTGCAAGGAGAGGTGGAATTGGCTGGGGTTCGAAACCCATTGGGTGTGCTGAAGCTTCAATTTCTTTAATTTTTTTCGCGGGTTGGCAGGTATTAAACGGGTTGACACGACCCGTTTAATAAACGGGTTAAACATGTATTTAATTGGGTTGATGGGTTGTATCGCTTGAAATTTGGCCGAATTTCGGCTCATAATTCTGGCAAGTTCCAGTCACTTTTTGCCATGGTCCAAGAACAAAAGTTGCTCCACTCATTGTCCTGATCATGTAGGTATAGGTCTTGATCGGCGGTTTGGAGATTTTTCGATTGCCAGAATTACTTTGTGCACCCAAGCGCCGGTAGCACGTGGGCTACTTTGTGGCTGGCCATTGGGTCCTAAAATAATCCCCATGTCGTCCCGAGCACGACGATATGCTTGGATTTGAAATTGGTTATCGTTTGACTGTCGATCGGATAACGCATATTGGGCGTTATCCAAGTTCGATATGTTCAGACCGTTGGATAGACTCCATTTTCATTTATGTTGATCTAGGCATCTCTAGGATCGTGTAGGAATTTGCGGATCGTGAATCGGGGTCCCGGATGCTTCAATTCAATGATTCAAAGATTAGGTTAAACGGTAACCGTTCGATCATTCGATTGTGTGATCGCGAGCGATTCGACCGTTTGATTTGGACCAAACTTGCAGGACATGTATATTAAACCTTGTTGAACCCGTAGGAACTTTCAGATCTAAAATCGGAGGCCGTGGGCCCCACGGGCCGGGTTGACCAAGTTTGGACAGTTTGACCCTTAGTTGACCGTGAGTCTTCCGAGGTAGTACTAGAATGACCGTGTAAACGTGTCTTGACCGTTATTTAAGTTATCTTGATTATGTTGGGGTTATGAGATTGTTGTATAGTATCTTATGAAATTCTTGGATATTATTTTGATAGTTGAAATTATGGAATAGATGAGCATGGGATACTTGATTGGTGGGTTGTCAAAGCGAGCCTTGGGCTCGGCTATAATTATTAGGAAATGAGTGAACGTTTGTGTTCAGGTGTACCTCGTACTTCTATTATGGAAATTTCTTGCATAAATAAGTTTTGATTGAAAATTGATTTAATTTGGGTTAATGAGGATATGGGATCTCTAAGAGTTATTATTTAGCATTATTTAATATTATTATGATTATTATTAAAGTATATGGATTGGGTGATAGAGGGTTGTTTATGAAAGTCTATTATTTTAATTGTGGAATTTAGTATTTTATAGAAATTATGTGTAAACAAATTTTGGTTCTTATTTGAATTATTTTTGGGTCTTTATGGAATATATGTTTGAGAGTTTATCTTCTATAATATGAATAGATATTTGGAAAAATTGAATTAAGGGAATATTATTTGTATAATATTATTTGTCAAACGTGGAAGTTCCTCCTTGATCTCTTTGAGGTCATGGACAACTGGGATTCAGGATTCAGATAATATTCATAATCTGATATTCAGATTATTACGCCTCAAGTTCTTTTGGTGATTTAAAATATTATATATAAATATTATTTGGTTGCATCCGTAGCCTCTCCTATAAGTATCATCATTCCTTACTTCAATCATTCATTCCAATTCTTTGGAATAGATTTCTACCATGAAGTAGTGTTTAAGAGAGGGAGAGAGAAGGAAGAAAAAGAAACAAGATGAAGAACGTGTGTGTTTGTCTTGTAATATTTCATACTTATCATGATGAGTGGGTTATGTAGTGTGTTCTAAAAGTTCTTATTTTGTGATAAATGTGAAAATCATGGATTATCATGGATTTATTCTATTTACAAATTTCTCTCTATTTCCTAGTCAATCATGTCTAATTTGTGCAATATTTCACACAATATATATTATTTGGAGTTTTTGTGAAGTGCGTATTATTCATGGAACATGAGAACTTCAATGACAGGGTATTCGAAGGATAAATGTACCAGACAGGGACATAGGGCAGTGAGGCCGATAGGGGTCACGTGCTGGGTACAATTTGTGAAGGATAACCAAGATATGAAGTAATGATGTGATATAATTTGGATTGTGTATCTTTTTATTATATTTTCTAGAATGTGTAAAATGACATTACTTGACTGTCATATTACATAATCTACTTACTGAGCGGTGGTTTGCTCATCCCTCACCTATTTTGTTTCTTTCAAATCAATTAGTGGGCAAGACAAAGACGAAACCAGAGAAGTTGGATTAGTTTAGAGTGATAAATTTTTATTTATATCTTGTACACTTGTAAGATTATTTTATATATATGTAAGGGTAATGTATTTTAACCAATTTTTCAATATTGTTATTTTATTTCGTTCAATTCACGCACCCTAATTTAGGAATATTGTTTATTTATGGATTGGGGCGTGACACAACTTTAACCTTCAATTTTTGCCATTTCATGTTCGTGCGGCAATTTAACATATCGGTTGGAAATGCTCTTACCTCTTTGGTCAATTACATTTTTCTGTGTAAATATAAACCCCCAAATTTCCACGAAATCCTTTGTTACATTTCCATCTGCAGGTAGGTGTATCAGTAAATTTTACATTTTCTCAATCTAAATTATACATTTCCTCTAGGTGGTTTCTTCTTTCTTCTCTACAAAACGGTTGCTTTTTTCTGATCTAGGGTTTGTGGAATTGTGGCTTTTTATTTCTTTCGAAAAAGTAAAAATCTTTTCTTGGTTTGGGGTTGATTCTCGTAGGCTGGGTGATTATTCTTGTAGAAAAACTATCGTTTCAATTTATTGAATATTAATAGTTTTGCGGTTAAGTTTGATCAAGGGGATTTGTTTATTGAGAAAGGTAGAACAATTTGTTGGAAAGAAAACTGGGTTTCATTTTTCAATTTTGTTTTTATTCTGTTAAACCATCTCCAACCATGTCAGGGCTAAACTAAAAATTTCACTCTCCAAAAATACAATTATTCATGTATTGCCTGGACTCAAATAGGTTTTTTTTTCCAACCATGCAAACTCATAATTTGAGTCCACATCTTTATTACATTATTTAAAATTGGTTAACCTCTATGTTTTATTTTTTTGGTTATTATAATTTTGATCACTAGTGTTAGAGTCGAATTTAATTTTGGTCTAATAATTGGAGTGGTTGCTGGGAACTATTCGACAAGCAAAAATCATGAATGGTTTGTAGAGACGTTTAGCAGGAGGCAGCCAAAAGGCACAAAGACAGAGGAGGAGGGGACATATAAACTAATATTTATTTCAAATCCATGTACCTTGCAGCTGCTGATGTTGTTTGAATTCTTGCATGGGGCCTGGTGCATTTTGTTTTTTTACAATAAGCGTGGTGGTTTAATTTGCTTGTATTAGTTTGTGGTGGTTGTATTACTTTGTTCAATAGTGTTTGTTGTAAGCTAAAATGAAGGAAGCTGCAATATGATAATTAGAATCACAATTTTGTGAAATCGCAAGAACCAATTGATACAAGATGAGTATAAAAATTACCTGATGAAACCATTCCTAGAGAACACAAAAAATAACAGATCTTCTACTCTCTCAGTGTTCTTAGAGTTCAAAACCAATGAATAGGATTTTTGGCTTCTGTATTGAATGTATAACTTGAGAGCATGGACCATTATTACTTCGGAATCTGAGTCTCAGCATTTAGAGACTACGCATTAGCCATTATAGTAATTTAACCACTCAAAATATGACACATCATTAAGTTTTTTTTCTTCTCTAAACAGACGTTAATCATTGCTGTTAGTTTCTTTTTTATCTCTTTCTACGTTCACGTCATCTTCTTCATTCTCCCTGACTGATGCCTTCTCCCTTTTTGGGGTTAATTGGACAACCCCTCATGGTTGTATGAATCTTCAAACCCAACCAAGTTAAAATAGTTTTTTTTTTTTTGCTTTTCTTCATCACACATGTGCATCTTCTGGAGAGAGAGTTTTTTTGTTTTTCTTTTATGCCGTTATCTCATCTCTTCCCCTCGTAATAAAAATGGACATATAATTGCAATTTTAATGCTAAAGAATCAAGAACAAATCTATAATATATATATAGAGAGAGGGAGCTTTCATTGATGGATCCCTCAAATAAGCTTATTAGAGAGAGAGAGAGAGAGAGAGAGAGAGAGCTTTCATTGAGGGAATCTCTCAAATAAGCTTATTAGAGAGAGAGAGAGAGAGAGAGAGAGAGAGCTTTCATTGAGGGAATCTCTCAAATAAGCTTATTTGAGGGACACCCTTGTAGAGCCCATTCCGTATTATATTATATGACTGAATATCTACAACATAGACGGTTTGAATACGTAACATTCCGTATTATATTTTTATAATATATGATATAGAATATGTGTAGAAGAAAATATTTTCGTCTCCAATCATAGCACGCTAAGTGAAAAACAAGATTAGATATTTATAAAAATACCCAATCCTAGACATGTATTTATAAAAATACCCAATCACTATTTAAACATAGAAACATATCCAAAATGGGTTTTGGGTATGTGTGTAATGATGAGTTTTGGGTATGTTTATAAAGTGTTTTGGGTGTTGGGTATTTTTATAATTTCAGCCCTCATTTTAGGTATTTTAGTGAAACTCCCAAAGAAGATTATCCCTTAAATTAATTAATAATTGAACCAATTTATTTGGCCAATTAATAAATAGGGATAATATCTTAATTATAGGATATTATCTTTATTTAATAAGATAATATCATTAATTCAGATATTATCCTAATAAGAAGATATAGTCATCATCAAATTAGGAGATTTGGATCCCAATCAAATCCCTAATGGACTCAATCTCTACAATTTAGGTAAACAATAAACTCCTTCCTAATAAGAGTTTTATTCTCTATGAAACCTTAGCCTCTGAGGCTCCTATAAATAGATGACTTCATTCATCATTCAAGGTACATCTAAGCCTACTCCTAAAACCCGAGAAAAATACCCGAAGCTCTCTCCCTCTTCACTCTCCATATTTTCTCCACACGGCTCCGGCCACCCGGTTCACACCATACATACATCTTCGTACCCTTTTGTTAGCTATTCGTTTTCCTACAAACGCTCGAACTAACTTAGGCATCAGAAGGCCTTTGGCCAACATTATTTGCACAAACAATATGAGTTTGATTGAATAGGAACATGGTTATTTCATAGTCCTTGTGATCCATTTGGCCACATGATTAGACTTTTGTTTTTGTTATTTTGTTTATGTTTTTGCAGGTATTGAAAGCAGAAAAAGATTATTGTTAAAATATTAATAACTTCTAATATTAAAAAAAAGTAAGGGTATTGTTGAAAAACTGAACAATGTTTCATTCCTAATACTTCACAAACCAAACATGGGAATGAGATAAAATTACTTTTCCATGTCTTAATTTCCTAGCGTTTCCAAACATGGGAATGAACATCCTTCATTCCTATCTTATGAGATTAGACATGGGAAGTTCATTCCTAAGAAGTTCAATCCGTGAACTGAATGGGCCCTAGGTGTTTAGATCTAATATTTTTTTGTGCCCCAAAATTAACTTTTGAGAATGGAGTGAGAATACTGAAAAGGTTTAGGAAGGACGTTAAGACTTTGATGCGCTTGACAATAATGTATTTGGTGGTGATCCGTGCCTTATAAACTCGTTCAATGACTTTTATTCCTTACTCACTTCAGCGTGATAAACACGAAATAATAAATTTCAACCATTAGTTATGACTTTAAAGACTTTTATGCCTTAATCACTTCACCTACTCGCAGACGACTTGACTCCAAGTCTTCTAGTGATCGGCTCATTTTTCTTTTCAATTCCTAGTCTCCTCTTTTTTGATTATTTTTCATGAGTTGTTGTCTTGTGTCTATAAAAGGAGGTTCATTTCTCCACCTTAATATTGCAAGATCCACAAACACAGATAATCACAAACGAAACTTTCCACGGGAATGGGATCTTCATGGGGCAACCTTTTTTCTCCACATTGTATAGTTTTGCTGTTACTCAATGTTACTCACTGTTTTTCATTTGTGCAGACAGTAGAGAGAAGTGGCCATGTTGATGAGTGCTCTGCCTTGTTTCAATTCAAGGAAAGCTTCACGGTAAACAAGTCTGCTTCTGTACATCTTTTTGCTTTTCCGAAGGTTGCATCTTGGAAGCGAGAAGGAGATCAGAATCGGAGCAATTGCTGCTCATGGAAGGGTGTTGAGTGCGATGAGGAGTCTGGCCATGTTGTTGGCCTTGACCTCAGCAGCAGCTGTCTCTATGGTTCTCTCAACTCCAACAGCAGCCTCTTCCAACTTGTTCACTTGCAGAGGCTTGACCTTTCAGATAATGATTTCCATTTCTCTGAAATACCATCAAGATTGGGTCATGATCTCACCAACCTAACATATCTCAACCTTTCCTTATCCGGGTTTTCTGGCCAACTGCCTACTTCTCTGGGGTACCTTCTTTCCTTAAATTTCTTGGACATCTCCAACTGTAAATTTCATCCCCATGTTCCATCTTCACTCGGAAACCTTACCCAGCTCCGTTACCTTGACATGTCTTCATTTTATGAAGTCTCAAATAATTTTTCCACAGGCCAAGGTATTGATTCTTGGTCATGGGTTGGAAAGCTAACCAAGCTCCACACTTTGCTCCTTACAGAAACTAACATAACTGGAAAATTCTTATGTTTTATGGCTAACCTGACAAAACTTGAACATCTAAACTTGGCCACTAATGAAATATCTGGTCAAATCCCATCTTGGTTTATGAAGTTGGCCAAATTAAGTACTCTATTGCTCGGGCAAAACAATTTGCAAGGAGAAATTCCTAGGTCTCTCTTCCAGCTCAAAAATCTTGAATCTCTTGGCCTTGCCTATAATAACTTGAGTGGTTTAGTTGAGTTTGATCAGTTTTTCCAGCTCAAAAAGTTAAAGGTACTTCGATTATCATACAACAAGTTATCACTGCATATCAAAACCAATTTGAGTTTTACTCTTCCACAGCTTCAAGTTCTAAGGTTGGGTTCCTGCAACTTAACAGAGCTTCCAGAGTTTTTAAGAAGTCAATACGAATTAACCGACCTATACCTTGGTCAAAACAATATTCATGGGCGAATACCAAAATGGTTGTGGAACGCAACTAGAGAAACTTTGTTCACTCTTGACCTCTCTGACAACTTCTTAACAGGATTTGAGCAAAATCCAATCATTCTTCCATGGAAAAATCTAATTACTTTAAATCTCTGGTCAAATCTGATACAAGGTTCACTGCCAATTCCACCACAATCAATCAGAAATTACATTGTCCCAGAAAATCATTATAGTGGAGAAATTCCGCCCTCGTTCTGCAACTTGAATCATTTACACATTCTTGATTTGTCCAACAACAACTTGAGTGGCATGCTTCCACAGTGTTTGGGTAACTCCAGTGGTTTGGAAATATTTACGCTGAACAGCAATTCTTTTCACGGCAATATTCCTCAATTATGTCCAACAGGCGAAAGTAGTTTGAAAATGGTTGATTTGAGTTACAATCAGTTACAGGGGAAGGTACCAAGATCAATAGCAAATTGCACTCTATTAGAGTTTTTTAACCTTGGAAACAATCAGATAAGTGACATCTTCCCTTCTTGGTTAGGGACACTTCCAGCATTGTCGATTCTCATTTTGAGGTCTAATGGATTTCATGGCATGATTGGGAAGTCTGCAACTAACCATGACTTCCCAAAGTTGTGCATCATTGATTTATCTAACAATGATTTTTCAGGTATGTTGCCCTCTAACTACTTAGAGAACTGGAATTCCATGAAATTTGTTGACAAGAGTAGTGAGCAAGCTTATTTTGTAGTCTCTTCGACGTCAGACAGCTCAGGTGGCTATGCTTTTTTATACTCGATCACGACTTTTGAAAAAGGTGTTGAGTTGGATTATTTTCAGACCCCTTATCTGCTTAGGTTGATAGATTTCTCAAGTAATAGATTTGAAGGAGAGATTCCAGCAGGTATCATTGGGAATCTAAGAGCCCTTATTTCGCTTAACCTTTCCAACAACGCTCTCACTGGTCACATCCCCTCATCTTTAGGGAACTTGACTGATCTTGAATCATTGGATCTCTCCCGAAACCAGCTCTCAGGAAGGATCCCCAGTAATTTGGCAAAACTCAATTTCCTCGAGTACTTCAATGTATCCCATAACTATCTTCGGGGTCCTATACCAGGTGGCCAACAATTTGAAACATTCCTAGAAGATTCATACCAAGGAAACTCAGGTCTGTGTGGAAAGGCGTTGTCAAAGAAATGTGAGAGCTCAATATCGCTACCGCCATCAATCTTCGAAGAAGATGAAGACTCTGGATTTCAAATTGAACTAGATTGGTATGTGGTTCTGCCAGGAGCTATTAGTGGTCTAATAGTTGGAGTGGTTGCTGGGAACTTTTGGACAAGCAAGAATCATGAATGGTTTGTAGAGACGATTAGCAGGAGTAAGAAGCCAAGAGGCACAAGGGCGAGGAGGGGACACAGAAATTAGACTAGTATTTGTTTTTTTGTTTTGAATTCTTGTAAGCGTGGTGGTGTAATTTTTTTGTTGTAATATGTTTGAGTGTAAGTTCTCGACTAGCTACGTAGGAACGAACTACATTTTTCCTTTTTCTGTTTGATAAGTTTCTTTCATTTCTCTGTCGTCTATCTGTTGTTAGCTTTGAAAGACTTTTGATTAATGGTTAGCTTGACAAGAATGTCTCTGTGTGGACCATGGCTTATAAACTCTGGTTCAAGACTTTTCAGCCTTAATGACTTCAGCTCATAAACACGAAATAAATATATTTAAACTTGGGTAGATCTTAGACATAGATATGATATGAAGATGATAACCCTGGCCAAGTCATTACATTATTTAATGACATATTTGTTGACACTTTCAAAATTAAGCACTTCTGGTTATCTCTTTAGCGTTGCCTAAAGTGCTGTATCATGGTCTTCCAAAAAGCAATCTACAGTGGCACTCTCAACAACTGAATCTGAGTATGTTGCTCTAGCATCGGCAGGTTGTCAAGCTATAGCATCAGCAGGTTGTCAAGCTAGGTGACTGAAAAGTATATTCTAGAAGAGATTAATCAAGTTCAAAACTGTTATGTGACAACAAATTAGCTATATGCCTTTCTAAAAATCCAATGTTTCACATCAAGATCAAGTTCCATTTTATTAGAGAGCTAATCAAAGACAAAGAAGTTGAGGTTTTGTATTGCAAGTCCCAAGACCAACTGGCAGATTTGTTCACCAAACGGTTGAAGAAAGACCTGCTCATCAATAAGATGAGAACTTTAAGGCATGAAAAAAGTCTAGCTTAAGGGGGGGATGTTGAGAATAATCTAGACATTATTATTATTATGGCTGGGGACGGCCCTAGCATGGTGCAAGTGGCGCCACCGCCCAAATTTTTTTTACTTTATAATATATGTTAATACTATAAAAATTGTATATATACTCTAGCGTACATGCAATACATTGACACAAAAGTGTATTTGGTGAAGCTGGTTTCTAGTGCATATCCCTTAGTACAAGGCCCAAGTTTGAGTCTCAATGAAGTCATTCTATTTGTATTTGTATTATTTTTTCATTATTGATATATCAAACAATGGTTTTTCAGGAATGTTGCCCTCCAACTACTTAGCGCAAGTCCACCGCAGTAGTTTGGCCCGATCAGGAGGGGGCCCAGGCCCGAGAGACGACTCCAGAGCACGTTGTTGCCTGGGTTTGCTGGCGTCAGCACGCTTTTCAAAAAAAAATTTCTACTGCTACAAGACACGTGGCAGCACCTAGGGCGTCCGATCAAATTTTCCACTACAATCCAACGATTGCCATTTTTTATATAATAAAAATTGAAAAAAATACCAAAACATTCTGAAATTTTTTTTCTATAAAGTTTAAATAATAAAATTAATTGTTAAAGTTTAAGTATAAAAAATAGAAAATAAATTAAAGTGAATAGTAATTGTCCTTTCCCTTGCCAATAGGGGTGGAAACAAAATTGCAAAGGCTGCCACTATTCACGTGAAGAGTGACAGCACTTGCCTTGCCCTTGCCCATTGGGGTGGAAGTGCATTTAGGGAACTGGAATTCCATGAAATTTGTTGATGAGAACCAGCAACCTTATTTTGAAATCTTTTCGACATCAGACAGCTCATATAAATATGGAGTCTTCTATTATCTTCTCAAATTGATAGATCTCTCAAGTAACAGATTTGAAGGAGAGATTCCAGCAGGTATCATTGGGAGTCTAGAGGCCTTCATTTTCTAAACCTTTCCAAATTCCAGCAACACTCTCACTGGTCTCATCCCCTCATCTTTAGCGAATTTGAAGTCTCTTGAATCGCTGGATCTCTCCCAAAACCAGCTCCCAGGAAGGATCCCCGGTAATCCGGCACAACTTAATTTCCTCGGGTACTTCAATGTATCCCATAACCATCTTTGGGGTCCAATACCACTTGGCCAACAATTTGGTACATTCCTAGAAGATTCATACCAAGGAAACTCATGTCTGTGTGAAAAGCCTTTGTCGAAGAATTGCAAAGATTCAGAGAGCTCAACGCCACCACCACTGTCATCAATCCTTGAAGAAGAAGACTCTGGGTTTCAAATTGTACTGGATTGGTATGCGGTTCTGCCAGGAGCTATTAGTGGTCTAATAGTTGGGGTGGCTGCTGGGAGCTTTTGGACAAGCAAGAATCATGACTGGTTTGTAGGGAAATTTAGAAGGAAGAGGCACAAGAAGGAGGGGACACAGAAACAGAGGCACAAGGTTTTTATTTTAAATGCATGTTCATCTTGGAGCTGCTGTTGTTTAGAATTCTTGTATGGGTGTGGTGCATTTTGTTTTGTTACTTACAATAAGTGTAGTGGTGTAATTTGCTTGTATTAATTTGTTCAATAATGTTCGTAATATGTTTCTATACGAGTACAGAAAAATAGTGAACGTTTTCGACTAGCTACAAATTACATTTCCTGTTTCATGCTTGCTTTGTTTGATTTTCTGTATTCTTGTTCTTAAGTACCCTAATTTTGATGCTTAATTGCTGACTTTGCGACCAGTATATGTTGCTAATATCAAATTCTAGTAATTAATTTGCCAGCTCTCTTGCGGTTCTTCTCTGTCCATCTCTGCCTTCACGTATACAATAATTACCCTGTAGAAATTTTTCCATCTCTTCATTCTTAAGCAAGAGATTATATGTTTACCACCAGTAGATTTTTGGATGTATCTTGTAATCGCTTCGTAACATGAATTAGGAAAAATTCCTTCCAAAATTACTCCATTAAAAGAATTATTCGAATGACAAACAAACCTTCAAATATCCTATGGCAAGAACAAGGCCACAGAGAAAACCTAAAAGCATTTCTGACTATATTTCCCAAACAGGTGAGGCCATAGATTCCAAATGGTTCACTTATCATTTTCTTTTTTCTTTTTTTGATCAAATAGAAAGATTTATTCAACCGTAGCACCAACCAATGATAAAGTTTACAAACGAACGGAGAGCGTTAGTGTGGCCTCATTAAAACCTTGCCATCCAAAACCCCCAATGGGGGAAAATCCGGTCAAGGAAAAAGAGTACCACCGCATCTCAAAACAAACAATGAATTACACCATAGCTATATCCTTATCTAAAAGAATGCTTAACCATGGAGGAGCACGATCTTTCCAAAAAAAGCGAGATCTCACTCTCAACCCATGCTGAGCTAGACTATGTGCCACCCCATTACCCTGCCGGTGTTGGTAGAACACTCCAGCCACCTCTCGATCAACCATTAACCGACGAACATCCTCCACCACATTACCAATATTACTCCACCAAACCCTAAACCATCTTTAAGAAGTATGTTCAAATTTTATAAGAACCAATTAGAAAATAACAAGTGGCTAATTTTGGGTTTTTCACTTCAAATAGGCTCTACAAGGGTTTTTGTATATTATGTCATGCTAAAATAGATTTATTAGTGAAATCCTCATTAAAGTTTGGGCTAGTTAAGTGCTTATTACAAGACATTGTTTATGAATGAATTTTCAGCCGTTTTACCCCCGAACTATGACCCTAATCGAATGTGTGGCTTCTTTTGCAATTGAATTGGGTAAACTAAAGTGTCTAGGCAGCAAATCAACCTCGCGAAATCTAGCCTTTTTTTCAGTCCAAACACCCCAGCAAACCTGCGGACTGAATTAGGGGCTATCTTTGGCATGTCTGCGGTAGAGGACCTTGGTAAATACTTAGGCCTCCCAACAATGTGGGGGAGGTCAAAGAGAGATGCTTTGCAATTTGTAAGGGAGAAGCTATTGCGTAAGATTAGTGGATGGAAACAATCTCTTCTCTCCCAAGCTGGAAGGGAAGTTCTCATCAAAGCCGTCGCACAAGCCGTTCCGACTTATCCAATGGGAGTTTTCTTATTTCCCAAAACTTTTTGCACAAGGATGGAGAAGGAGATCTCTAATTTTTGGTGGGGTCAGAAACATGAGGAAAAGAAGATTCACCGGGTAAGCTGGGCTCATTTGGGTCTGCCCAAGCATGACGGCGGTATGGGCTTCCGTGATTTTCATAACTTCAATTTGGCCCTTCTTGCTCGACAATGCTGGCGGCTACTCACCGAACCTGAATTCCTTTGGGCACAACTAATCAAAGCTCACTACAATCCGAATTGTAATTTTCTCGAGGCCAAAAAAGGTAGCAGGGCTTCATGGGCATGGGCCAGCCTTATTGAAGGTAGAAGGGTGATCATAAATGGAGCAAGATGGCAAATTATGAATGGAGCAAAAGCACGAATCTAGTCAGATAAATGGATTACCAACATCCAGGGTGGGGAATTGCGTCCATATCCAGATACAACCATTGACCAAAGCGCTACTGTGGAGACCATAATTGATTGGAACACTAGATCATGGAATCTGGACTCAATTCGCCCGTTAATTTCGAATGAGGAGGCTAATGCAATCCGGCGCATCCCCATTGGCATCACTTCGGAAGCGGATCGTTTGGTGTGGCCAAGCGAGAAAAATGGAAAGTATTCGGTAAGATCTGGCTATCACAACATTCACACTTCTCATCAGCGAACCTCCTTGAGAAGGCCATCTCCATCTATCTTGATTGACTCAAAGGTTTGGAAGTTGATTTGGCATGCCGACGTCCCACCAAAGGTTCGACATTTTCTTTGGAAAGCTCTAAATGGTCACATTGTTGTCTCCTCTGTCCTTCATAAGAAGAAATTGCGACCCTCCTGTTGCATTCCTAAAAGGACACAATTTAATGTGCAAACAACCAATTAAAAATACCCGCAAGTGCACGAATCTATCGAAGTATAGATTATGTAAGTACGGGGTCGATCCCACGAAGAACTTGTCGGTTGCCTATAAGTTCTAATTCGAGTACAAAGAGAACACCCCCTCTATGTCCTATTTGCAATGCTGAGGAGGAATCAGTTGAGCATATGCTCCTTCTCTGTCCTTGGGTTGAGCCGATATGGTTTGGAGGCCTTTTAAACTATAAAATCGACAAGCATGGCATCACCACTTTGCATC